GAAAGTATTTCTGGAGAAGAGAGATCTTCAGCATCCATAATACCACTAAAATTACAAAATGTAGATATATATCAACCCTAGTTGCCCACAGGGCCAGCCTTGATAGCAGCATTCATTTCTTAGGTTTAAATGTAATTTTCTTCGTGTTTCAACTTAACATAGAATGAGTCAATCAGGAGAATTTTAATTAGATACAACAAAATAAGCTGATCCTTAAAATTTACATTGGTTTATTAAGATGGTCCCTATAACTGAGGTGATGATTGTCATTGACCGTAAGAGAGTGCATAGTCACTATTCACTGCGGATAATCGGAAAGAGCAATGCAATTCGTCTTCAGGTATATTGGCAAAATCTTAGCCAAAAAAATTTTCAGGATATCTTAAAAATATTTCTTTGATGGGATAAAAAGGCAAAATTTGGGACTTATGTCATGGTGTTAGCACATTTCATCAACAAGGTTTTTTTTCAAATTAGAACCACAATTTCGGCTACTTTTGAGGGTGTAACAATATTTTATGAAGGAAATACTGAATCCCAGAGGGAAAAATCAAATTGTAGTTTTAAAAACTCATTACCAATAATTAATAATGAACTCTAGCTAAACAATAACAGGTGTTCTACTAATCCCAAACAGAAACAGATGGAAGCACAAATGTTTTATAAATAGTGGATACACGCAGAGCAATAAACTTGGCAGGAATTGTTTTATTCTCTAATTGTCAGTCAGAGTCAATGTCTCATCACTTGCATTTTCTCTAAATTAATATGCCCAGATTAAATCTGCGTTTCTCATTCCTTATTTTTAAAAACGCAAATCATACTGAGTGCTTTATCACTCCATCTTATATACTGCCTCACTGACAAAGATAATATTCTTGAACTCTCCTTTGATATATTTACAAAACATCATATAGCTTGTTAGATGAAACAACAGACATATCATACATGCTCCCCTTCTCCCCCTTCCTCCTTTCCAGCTCCTGGGCAAGAAATACTGATCTAAATATTCTTTCATTCCTTAAACCTCAAAATTATGAAAGTATGTGGATGAAATAAATTAAGAAGTCAATTAGTAAGTTAGTAAATGATATTTATTAAGAAATCTAATCTTACAGACCTTGGGAATTATTTTCAGGAGCTGGCATAGTAAATAGTGTTGTAGATCTGAACTTATAGACTTTTTAGAGCAGTGGTCCCCAACATTTTGGCACCAGGGACCGGTTTCATGGAAGATAATTTTTCCACAGACGTGGGGTGGGCTGGGGGGCTGTGGAGGGGAGGCAGAGCTCTGCAGCTAGGTTCCTAACAGGCGCAGATGAGTACCAGTCTTTGGCTCAGGGTCTGGGGACCATAGTTTTAGATTATGTTTACAAATACTTTTATGCTGTTAGAAGGGCTCTTTCTGTGTGGTTATTGGCAAAATCATCTTTAACTCACATAGAGATAGTTTTGTTATTCCTTCTGACCTTAATCTGTTGTTCAATTTCCAGAAATAAATGATTGGTATTGTGACTGTTAAACTGCTAGCATCCCTCACTGACTTTCACAATGCATGGCTCTCTGTGTTCTGTGATTTTCTTAGAAATTATATTTTATGATCAATTAGTAGCTACTATGAATAATTTCAGTGACACAAAGAACACATATTTTCCTCAGATAATAAAATATTTAAACTAATGGAATACAAAGGAAATAAGGCATATCAGAACATTTATTAATTTGCACTCATCAGCAATATAGATTGATCTTATGTATAAGTAAACAGTTGATCTTATAAAGGCAAAAGTATGTGTACAGTATGACTTTCTTAAACCACCAAAGCTGAACAAAATAG